CTACACATTATGAAGAGTCCAAATGTTTATGCAAATGAGCTGTGGTCCACATGACCCACAGACAGGTGCATTTAAGCCACTGGCTCCTTATGTCCGGGTTTGCCAAAACGCACCACGGAGACGCCACGACCACGCCAGCACACAGGCGAGTGAATGACACATGTAACCAGATGTAACTGCCCCATAGAACGCTGCACCCTGAAGACGTGTTCATGCACACTACATGTCACAAACACAGTCCATATACTCGCAGCAGTCAATGAATGGGTTTTGGGCGCAGCGCGCAGCCTCCATGACACCGGGCGCACGCATCCTCAGATGGGCTCCGTGGGACAGCGTGCTCAGGGACGGGCTCACCCCGTCACACAAGGACTACTATGAAACAGAAGTGTAGGTCTGTAAGTGGTCGATTTTGCTGTTGTTTAAAAAATGCAAAAAGGACCACACAAAAAAAAGACTGATTATGAAAAAAAAAAGAGATTATCAAATGTAAAGTGAATTTGTTATGCAAATAGGACACACACAAAAAAGCTTATTTATGCAAGATTAGTGATGGCTAATAATAGGGCTGGGTGAAAATGTTTAGAAAGTCTTTGCAACCAGCAAAATGAGGGACAGGATACATAGGAGCAGAATTCATTTAATTATAATTTTTTCAGATGTTTTTCTATTAGAAATAAAACATCCTCAGCCCAGATTGCTGTTTGTGGTGCCACACAGTTTGGCAGTTGACATTTATAAATATTGTCTAAATTGGAATGCAAAAATATTGCTTCTGCCCAACAACAAGATTGTGGGGAAGCTGGCCAAAGGGTCAAAATGAGACGGCAGAACTAATTTTGAAAGTTGTAAATCAAAAGTTTTTCAAAGAAAAAATGTTAAAAAACTACTCACATTTTAACAGCAGCAAACAGTCTTTGTGTGTCTCTCTGATGAGGTTCACCTCTGAGCTAGCAATCCCACCCCGGGCCGATGGGGGTGGACCCGGAATAAGAATTATCCAATGCTAACATATAGCATTGGCAGACCCCTGGAAAATGTCTTTACAGGATGGACCAAAAGTTGGCTCTTGGCCCAAAGCTCCGTTCCACATGTGTGTCAATGCTGAGGGGGGTGGATGTTTTTTGGACCACTCTGGTTTACTCGCTGTGAATTTTTGAAGTCTCTCGTTTAAATGAATGGGGCTCGTGCAGCTGATGCATGCGCAGATGAGTTTTTTCACATTTTCCAGCCCCCGCGGCCATTTTGAATCACTCCATGAAAGTCCATGAAAGATAGGCGTGACTACGTCCGTTAATATATACAGTGTATGTTTTGAAATGAGGTGGCTCCACCCACAGGGTAAAAAATGGTCAGACACGTCCTTTTCAACGGTTGCAAAATACATTTGTTAAATGCGTCAATAGAAAGGGACAAAGTATCCCACTGTGTCACAAAGATGACAGATACTTGCTTGTTTAATTTTCAAATCTTCAAAATACAGCACTGGCTGGACACTTTTCACGTCTATGTTTAAGTAAATTTCTTCCACATATAGGCCATACTTGAATATAAGCCGCAGATTTTCCTATTGTAACACTTTGCCAAGAGCTGATGCAGCAAAGAAAGCTGAACACAACATGGTTTAATGATGAGGTGTTGATAGAAGAACTCTGGTGAATCTATTTTGACTATTACATTCCTTCTAAAACTTGAGTAAAAATAATAAACCGTAAAGCTCTGACAACACACTAATCACATAACAACAAGTCCACTGACCAAAACACTTCCTTGTCTTTCTCTGCTGTTCACATAAACACACTAAAACAGGAATGTGTGATCCCTCATCAGCTCTGAAGATCAACAGCTCATAGAGAGCTGTGTGCAAATCTATTGCTGCACCCCAGGGGGCGCTCTAATAAAATACATAGTTGCGGTTTTTGGTCCAGTAATTACTGTATACTAAAATATTGTGACATTTTTACATGGATGCAGAAAATCTTGAAATATTTGTCTTTGCAAAATGTTTATTGCAGCAGCCCACTCACATTCACATTATTTATTGGATTTATTCACAAAACAAATCCGACAAGCAAATAACTTTTAAACCTCCTCGCTGTGACTCTGCGGTTTGGATGAAATGTCTTACATCATTTATGGACTAACATTATTCAAACAAGTCTTATGTAAAATGCATCTGGCAGTTTATAGTCAGGATAGATTTATTTTAATTCCAAATTGCACATTCTGTACATTTCATCTTTATTTCATAATTCACATGCTACAACTATGTTAAATACAGACTCTAAGTGTGTGACTTTAAACGCTTGAATTAGACCAAAAGGATCACATTAGGATTAGGGCATACGGCATTTCTTGTTTTTCTTTTTTTTCACTTGTTGCATTTCTGAATCATTTTTTTTTAGAAATCAGTCAAAAAATATTCACATGGAAATAAAAAACTGAACCTTTCTTTATTTCAAATTGCATTGATGCCAAGATTAAATCATGAAAACAAATCACACTTTTGGTCCCAAGAACGAAGCTCTCAGAAGTCTGGAAACCCTTCTCCTGTACCATCATTCTGCCTTTTTTGAAAATCCTGCACACATTTTTTTTGTATCTTGAGTGCACTGATTTTTTGCCTAAATGTGACAGAAAAACACACGTTCCATGACATGTGATATATAATTACTGTACTATAAAATCTGTGGTAATTTCCCATTCTACATGAGGACTATAAATGTGAACCAACCCAAAGTCCATCCATCCATCCATTTTCTACCCTTTAATCCATTTCTGGGTCAGGGGGGTGGCAATCAGAGATGCCACCCAAGTCTCATAGCACCAGCCCCTCACTGACCCTCTGCAGGTGGTGAGTCCACAGGAGGACGGCTGCTCTCTGAGTGTGAGCATAGCCTTGATCTTTCAGTGGGGGCTTTGGGCAAAGTGGGGTTAAGTGTCTTGCCCAAGGACACAACGACAGCAGTCATCAGTGGGAGTCGGTGGAGAAGGTGCAGAGGTGGGAACCCAAAGTCAATGTTACCAATATTTCAAGCACACACTGCAGAGGGCTCTCCAACAGTGGTGTTGTTGGGCCACCACCAGCCGGCTGCAGACCAGAAGAGTGGCACGGCCTCCAGGCGTAAAAACACTGCAGTGATGTGTCTTTTATGGTCTACAGAAAATTTAAAATCCTACAACGCTGCCTCTTAAAGCAGGAAAGTCTAAGTCGGTTTTATCTGAAGAATCTTTTGCTTATTTTAAAGTTATGGAGGTGAAACATTTGTATTATTATTATATTATTATGCGTTATTTTCTGGTATATTTTTCTAAACAAAATAGCTAAACACTGTTTGGGCTGAACCAAAACTTAACAGAAGGTATTCAGTATTGAAGACTGACTTTTGTTTTTCTTTCTGGCACCATTTTCTCCCTCCATCTTCTCCAGTCATTTACACTGTGAAAGGAATCAACTCCATCTCACCATTTTCATTAACCCTTTAGGCGCCAGAGGTTTTTTCCTAAGAGGCTCAATTATGACATCTTAATTTCTTAATAACTTAAAAGAGAAAAGAGATAGAAGCTTTATGTAAATTGGAGAAATGATAAGGATGACCCACAGTTTATGTAGGAATGGTCGGAAAATTGTAAAACAGTGTAAATCATTGTGTGGCAGGAGTTTGAATGAATTTACAATCAATCTGTCATCATAAACAGTACCACAAACTGTCAAATAAAGTCAACCGTGGCGCTTGGAGGGTAGAGTATTCCAAATCTTGCCTGCCCTATAAAGCTGGGGTAACAATATAAATATATCTATATTGGCTCTAACACAGTTTTCATTAAAAAAAAGTATGTCTTTGCCCTCTGTATATTAAAACAAAAGCAAAAAAAAGTATGCAAATGATATCAAATTTCTAATGGGATGAAAACAGCGTGTTTTGAGCTGATTGGTGCAAAACACTTACTATGTGTATTCATGTTAAAAAAGTTAGTTACCCCAGCTTTATAATGTACTGTATGTATTTCTGCCATTAAAGACAAAAAGCTGTAAATCATGTTCTAATGGCAGCCCATTAGGCAGTAACGATGTGCAGGTCACCCCGTATATTATTGGGCTGGATAAACAATAAACAACTTGACATTTATGTATTTAAATGAGAGTGCAGGATGAGCATATTAGGCATATTTCTAATGCTTTTTGTGTACGCTTATTTCCCCCACAACAACTAACTTACACAATAACACCAAGAATGTTTTATCATTTAACTAATTTTTTCATACACTGGTGTATCAGTACGAGACGAAGAATAAAAATCAGCTATATACAGTCTGGTTTGTCTAAAACATGTTCATTAGCATTAACAATGTTGCTCCAAAGAGACCAGTATACAGAATAGTGTTTCAGCTCCCTTCATGATTTATGCATCTCAGATTTGCAATTCAACGCATACAGTATGGAAGACCAGCTTACTTTTTGTTTTAGTCTCACTTACTGAATATTTTAAAGTTATGTTTATGTTTCAAATATTGTACTGGATATTTCTTACCAAGGGACAATGTACAATAAGTTTCAAAATTAATATCTTAAATTAGTAACTAAAAATATTTTCGATTCTCCTTATATGTTATCATTTATGTTATTAATTTTAGGAGTCCTGTATTGTTATGTTTGTCTCTTACATAACTTTTAAGAAGAACATACAGAAAACTCCGGTGACTTCAGTAACGTCTTTACTTGACAGGTGTCATTCAAAGTACAAGATATCAGTACGCTACCCGCGTACTCGTTACATATGCGCTGTGCGTATACTCGAGAGAAAGTAGTCCCTACTGTTGTAATCAATACATAACAATTCCTCCCTTACAGCTTTTATGCTCTTATCAAACAAAAATCAAAAGTAAGATAAATGGTTACTTGAATAACAACTTGAATAACAACTTCAATAACAAATGCACATTTAAATGCATAACATTTTTGTTTTGTTACAACACTTGGTTTATACAACACTTTTAGTCTATGAACCAAGTCTGTCAGGAGGTTTGCGGTGCCTCTCAGGATATCTGCGTCCCGGAGGATCAGACAGGTTTATGACAGGTCTGGGACAGTCAATAGTTTCTGGTGTGGAGTTGGTTTCCACTGTCATGTCTGGTGGTAATGTACTGTCCTTTTGACTTGGGACAGTTGGTGTCACTGGTGGGTTTGCGTCTTTTCCAGGTGATGCATCCAAAAGTTGATCGATATGTCTGCGCCAGACGACATTAGGTTCCACACCTACAGTGTAAGAGAGTGGTCCAGTTTGTGACAAAATCTCAGCATGATGCCACTTGTCACTTTGGTTGCGATAGTCTCTAGCCAACACTTTTTGTCCAATATCAAATGATCGTAGTTTTCGTTGTTGTTGAGTGGAAGAACTTTGTTTGTTTGTAACATGTTGACGGATGTCAGGTTTTAATAGATCCAAACGAGACCTTAAGTTTCTTCCCATAAACAACATTGCAGGTGATTGTCCAGTTGTTGTGTGTGGCGTATTTCGGTATGCCAGTAGAAAGTTGGCAATTTTCTGCTGCAGCGGCACTTCCTCTTTCCTACTTGCTTTCATGGACTGTTTAAAAGTCTGTACGAAACGCTCAGCCAGTCCATTGGTTGCTGGATGGTGAGGAGCAGAAGTGATGTGTTTTATTCCATTGTTTTTCAGGAACATTTGAAACTCTTCACTGGTAAACTGTGTTCCATTATCACTGACCAGTTGAAGCGGGTAACCAGTACGTGCAAAAAGCATTTGCAGTTGGGCCACTGTTTTAGTTGTAGTTGCCTTGTTTACTGTAAAAACTTCAGGCCATTTTGAGTGTGCATCAACCACAATAAGGAACATGTGTTCCATAAAGGGTCCAGCATAGTCCACATGTAGGCGTTGCCATGGAGCTGTTGGCCATTCCCAAGTGTGGACAGGAGCAAGCTGAGGTTGTCGCTGGGTTTGTTGGCAACCTGTGCATGTTTTCACAAGAGTCTCTATTTGGTTATCAAGGCCAGGCCACCACACATAACTTCTAGCAAGGCTTTTCATTTTAACAACCCCCATGTGTCCATCATGCAGTGAGCTAAGCACTTTTGAGCGCAGTTTGGGTGGTACAATGACACGTGAACCCCACATTACACAATTGTGGCACACAGGTGAGTTGATCTTTCCTTGTAAAGTAATCTGACAGTTCAGTGTCTGTACGATTGGGCCAACCACTTACAGTTAAGTCATACACTTTAGATAGCAGTGGGTCATTTCTTGTTTCTTTGTTTATTTGTGCACTAGTCACTGGGAGAGGTTCCATTTGCAGCATGTGAAGGGTTAAAGCAGGGTCGGTGCCTTTACCTGTGTTTGGCTGAGGAAGGCGGGATAATCCATCTGCATTTCCATGTTGCTTTGTTCCCTTGTATTCAATGGCGTATGTGTGAGCTCCCAGAAAGAGAGCCCAACGCTGTAGACGAGCTGCTGCCATTGCTGGAACACTTTTCTGAGGATTGAAGATGGAGACTAATGGCTGGTGATCTGTAATCAGAATAAAATGTTTTCCATACAAATATTGGTTAAACTTTTTTACTCCCCATACTAAGCTTAGAGCTTCTCTGTCTATTTGTGCATAATTACGCTCTGCCGGTGACAAAGAGCGTGATGCAAAAGCAATGGGGCGTTCTGAGCCGTCAGTCATTTTGTGTGACAAAACGGCACCAATGCCGTATGGTGAAGCATCACAGGCAAGTCGCAGGGGCAACTTTGGGTCAAAGTGTGTCAAAACTTTGTCTGAGATAATGAGTCTTTTTGCATTTTTAAATGCTTCATCACAGTCATTAGTCCAATTCCATTTAGCGTTTTGATGGAGAAGACCATTTAGTGGGTGGATCACAGATGACAGATTTGGCAAAAACTTGTGATAATAGTTAAGAAGGCCAAGGAAGGATCGCAGTTGACTCACATTTTCAGGTTGTGGAGAATTCACTACGGCCTCGACTTTATCTTGTGTTTTGTGTAGTCCATTCTTGTCTATCTTGTGTCCACAGTACTCAATACATTCTTTGAAAAACTCACATTTCTTTTTATTTGCTTTAAGTCCATATTCCTCAAGTTTGTTGAGAACCGCATCTAAGTTTGTTAAATGCGAAAATTTGTCTGGGCCAGTGACTATGATGTCATCCAGGTAACATTGTGTACCTGGGATCCCTTGTAACACCTGGTCCATTGCACGTTGCCAGATTGCTGGGGCACTTGTAATGCCAAATACAAGTCGGTTGTATTGGTACAAACCCTTGTGAGTGTTGATGGTGAGGTACTTCCGTGAACTCTCATCCATCTCCATTTGCAGATAGGCCTGAGCAAGATCTATTTTTGTGAAGTGCTCACCATTTGCTAGAGATGCAAAAATGTCATCAATGCGGGGAAGTGGATAATGGTCTGCGTGCAGTACCGGGTTAACGGTTACCTTGAAGTCCCCACAAATACGAACTCGTTCTGAAGACTTCTTGGCCACTGGAACGATTGGTGTTGCCCATTCAGACCAATCCACTTTCGTTAAGATCCCCTGATCCATTAGATGTTGTAGCTCAGCTTCAACCTTTGGACGTAGTGCATATGGCACTGGACGAGCTTTGTGAAACTTTGGTTTTGTGTCTTTTTGAAGGTCTAGACACGCTTTAATGTGTTTCATGGTCCCTATGCCCTCACTGAACACTACTCTGTGGTTGTCTAATATTTCTGAGAGTTGTTTCTCTTTGTGTTGTTTGGAAGCCAGGCTCATGGTCTTTATTTCTGGCCAGTTCAGTTTAATTTGTCTTAGCCATTGACGTCCGAACAGTGGCGCACCTCCCTCTTTGAGAACGAACAGTTCAAGGTTACTTGTTTGCTTTTTATATTTCACCTTAACATTCAGTTTTCCCAGAGGCTCAACTCTTTCACCTGTGTATGTCTTAAGTTTCACATTTGTGCGAGACAACTTCATTTCTGGAAAGTTTTTAATGTAATCTTTTACTTGGATATTAGTGACAGTGCTGATCCCGTGTCCAGTTCCATTTTTAATAGCACACCATTGACTTTCGGTGTCAACCATATTATATCACTGTCATCCTCTTTAGTGGCATACAGTCCAAGACAAGACAGTTCCTCTTCACTTGAGCTATCTGACTCAGTTTCCGTTACTTTATGAAGTTTTTGTCCCCTTTTTGCACTAGAGTTTTCTTTATTGTTGCTGTATTTCGCTTTACACATTTTCTGTATATGCCCTCTTTTGTTGCATTGTCTGCAATCTTTATCTTTAAACCAACATTCAGCTGGGTCATGTGACTGTTTACCGCATCTGAAGCAAGGCTTTGATTTGACACTTCGCTGCTTTGAGTGCAGTTTGTACACGGAGCATGCAGCGGGCTGTTTACCTTGTAGTTCAGTGGCGTCTCTTGCTGCGGTTTCCACTGACACAGCGATATCCACCGCACGCCGTAAGGTGAGCCTTTCTTCTGTTAAAAGGCGTTTTTGCGTACTCTCGTTATGCAGACCACAGACGAACCGGTCTCTCAATGCGTCAGATAGTCCCTCTCCAAACTGACAATGTTCCGCCAGTCTTCGCAGATCTGCGATGTACTCTGACACTGTCTCAGTCTTTGCTTGGTTTCTCTTATGGAATCTGAAGCGCTCCGCGATCACTAGCGGTGCTGGATTCAAATGATTTTTGAGTGTTCTTGTAATCTCCTCAATAGTTTTGTCTGCGGGTTTGGCTGGTGCGATGAGGCTGCGGAGGAGGTTATACGTCTTCGCTCCCATGAGACTCAGAAGAACCGCGACTTTCCTCTCATCCTCTATCCCGTTAGCAAGGCAGTACTGGTCAAATCTTTCAACATAAATTGACCAGTCCTCTATGGAGCTGTCAAATGTGTCCATATGTCCAACAAATCCCGACATTCTGTCACTTTATTGCGTCCGATTACTGTAACGGTACTTCGTCCCCACCTCCCGTTAGTTTGTCTTCGGAGTGAGCCAACGAAAATTTCTCTCACCAAACCAAGTCCATTTTTACCCTTTTTACTTGCCGTTATTCATCCAGAGGCCTTTATGGGTTCTTGTAAATCCTCGTCGCCAATTTTGTTATGTTTGTCTCTTACATAACTTTTAAGAAGAACATACAGAAAACTCCGGTGACTTCAGTAACGTCTTTACTTGACAGGTGTCATTCAAAGTACAAGATATCAGTACGCTACCCGCGTACTCGTTACATATGCGCTGTGCGTATACTCGAGAGAAAGTAGTCCCTACTGTTGTAATCAATACATAACATGTATTGTTTAAAAAAGTCCCAGCGCTTTATTTTTTGTCCTCTATCAAATCAGAAAATAAACTAAAGCGTTAACCAAGTAAAAAAGTTTAATTTACTAACAAGACCTGGCCAGAGGCAATGGCACAGACATCCACACAGACAGGACAAAAAACAACATGTCAGCTTTAAAAGGGACCTATTCTCATTATGTTGGTATATTGTGGTCTTTTTTTGTCTTAAATAAAACTCATTTTGACAGATAGTTTCACCCTTAGCGGTTTCAATCAATAATTATTGTGCAAAAAGAAGTTCGCGGAAAAATTGCCTAGACCGGAAGTGACGTACACGTAGGGGTCTTTGGGCTTTGTTGATATGCATTTGTAAGCCATAACGTTGTATACGGACGTTTTAAACAGATATTTGTCATTCAGTGATGGACAATACAAGGGTTTTTATTCATAAGTCCTTGCGTACTTGTTATGACAGTCATTCTGATTTTGAGGACTCTGACTCGGCTCAGATGAGGAGCAATCTTCAAGAACTCAACAAATGCAAACATTAGGGCCGATTCCACGGGCTGGACTCATGGATCTATGGCCCGACCGCGTCCGACCCGTCTCGACCCGGTTTACGGATGCGGTCAGTTTGAGCTCGATGGGAATGTGAGAAGCAGGATCAAGTGTCAAAAAATATCATTGAGTTCAAAACAGGTATCAAACCTTTTTCCATTTCCATTTACACTGTGGCTTGTTTGGCCCAACACAAGGTTTATTGTTCTACCTGCTATTTTGGTCTTATTAGAAAACATGTTATCTTTTGCGCACACAAAATAACCGTTTGAGTCACTGTGGTGCTTTGGGCTGTTTGAGGTCCTCTCTTTTTCACTTTTCTGGCTGAAAAAGCAGTGATAGATTTTGGTACAAATTATATTTTTTGTGGTGAGAAAGATTTATTTGATTCCATCATTCCATTTTTTGGTATCCCAGGTTTAAGGATGTTCTGTTAAAAGTTGCAGTCCTCGGCTACAGTAAAAAGAGCAGAATTACGACTGAATGTGGAAGATTTAGTGAATGTGAAGCTGATGAATGGACTCCATCTGGTTCTTTAAGTGTTTTGAGCAAGACTGAGTAAAACCCAGGCCAGTTTCATAAATACAACAGCCAGCCCACCAGCTCAAGGATATGTGTGTGAAAAGGAACATTAGTGAGGAAGCGAGTAGTAAAGTGGTAGGGTGGTGAAGTGGGAAAGTGTATCCAGCTTTGTGAGAGTGGTGCTCAGGGGCCATTTTGTTAACTACATCGCCAGAGTCCACTATGGGCAGCTCTGTCATCTTGACCAAAGTGCATTTGTGGCATGAGTGAATGGAGCTTACCTTCAAAAGATGAATCAAAGTTGTCCTTTAACCGAGGGTTTCCCACCAGGGGGTACAGTATGGTATAGTATTTCAGAGCGTACTTGACATGATTTTCAAAACTCCCAAACATTATTATGTGAATTGGCACTATGGCATTTTCAAAGTTAATTATCTAACAAAAAAGCCATATTTTGTATTCTAAACATTGAAAGTAGAATTAACCATAATCATTTTGGTCTGATCAATTTGCAAAAACAAGCCTTTGTCTGTGAAGATTATTTCTGGGAAAAAATCTAAAGGTTAAATTAGATGAGAGTAATTTTTTGGTAAACATACCTACATTTGAACATTGGGAATAGATATAATCAAACAATCCACAATTAAAACAATGGAGACCAAAATCAGTTTGCTTGGGATATTTTGGAGATTCTTTTACTCCTTATTGACAGAGGATACTTGTGCCCTGACTATGCTGGAGACTTGGTACACAGGGCTTACATGGTTGGAAAATACTGGTTTACCCTTTGCTCATAGTATGAATAAAATATCTGGAGTAGATGACAAAGTTGAATTTCAACCACACAATATGGGGGCATTTGTAAGTAGTGACAAACTCTAACAAAGCTGAATGGTCTGTGCGAGTGATGCTGATGGAGAGAGTACAAATACTTGAGAACTGAAATGCAGAGGGTACATTTGGTTTTGTGTTGTGAAATCAAGATAACAAAAAAATCTTGATTTGAGTAAATGTATTGTCTTAAAATGTTTTAGCCAAATCTGTTTAGCAATTGTAAGTTATTTCTCATTCTAAGTGATAATGACTCTTCTACTGTACAACAAAACATTCTTGCTTTTCCCATTGTCAAATCAAGTTGCTTGTCCAAATGAAGACATGTTGCAACTGAAGTGAGGTTGAGCTGGAGAGAGGCTGCTGTGCTGTCAATAGAATAACAAAAACAATACAGGATGGCAGAATGCGTCAGCTTTGGCTATTTCATGGATTCGAACTGGTAAAAAAAGCACTGGTCCGAGGGTGGAACCTTGTGGCACACCTAAAGAGTGGACAGTCACAAACCATTATCTAATCTTTCTAAAGGGTAGGCCTCAACATTACAGCCGGTATGACCAAAGGTCCACTTAAAAGGCATTTATATTCACATCAAAATCTGCAAAGAATGGCAACAAATGTTTGATTTTAGTTAAAGAGGCCCCCATCCAATATTCTGTTTTAAAATATACTTTTGCTACTGAAAGAAAATGACAAAAATCTTGGGCTTCAAAGCTGTGTTTGCTTTACACCCTTCTCTAAGATTTAAAAGTATGTTCTCTCTGGGATTAAGGCTCTGAAAGCGTTTAATTTGTGCCACATTCAGACAGTTGTTGTGGCCCATTTTTGGGGTTGAGTGCTTCTGTGTGGTCAACCTCTGGTGGTGTCCCAGCCCTGTCTCCACATCATTAAAAGTGATAGTGAGTGGACATAACACGCACAAAGAAAGCAATCAGAGCAAGTGGAGCGCGAACAGCTCTTAAAAACAGGAACATTTTGTACCAAGCTTTAGAAAACAGTGTGAAGGATTATGTGCTAAACCATAACAAAAGACCTAATTTATTGGGGATTTGAAAGGGTGTTCATCCTTTGGCACGGGATTTTTAATAAAGTATACACATCGCAAAAGAAAGTCACCAGAGATAATTATGCCCAATGGGTAAGATTTTGTTTTCTTGACGACAAATAATGTTTCATGTTGCTTTATTTTGTGGATTTGTACATAGACGAGCAATGCTAACCCCCTAGCTCAATAGTGAAGCGCTAGTGGATGAAGTTTTGCTCCCACTCGCTCTGGCTCCTATTGACTTACATTGAAAATTAAACTCTAGCGCACCAACCATTTTGGAATCTGTGGTTTGGCCCTCTCTTCGATCCTAGGCCACAGTGGCTCAGTTGGTATAATAATAATGTAATACACTACATGCTGGAAGAAGCTGGCTTTGACAACACCACTTATTTGTTTGTCCGTTTTAATTAAAATGGACAAAACCGTCAAAATGTGGTTACATTTGGGGTAAAGTGATTAATCCTGGTTCATTCTTGCCGCTGTTTTAAAACTCGCGCCACTGCTCATTACAAATGTATTTTCCGCCCGTTGACAAGTGTCTGCCTCTGACTCTGGAGAGGCTCATATTTCGGTAAATATTGAACCAGAGCTTAGACTCTAGGCTGTATGTCTCTGCTCTTTCTCAGACACCAACCGCTGAGCAAAGGGGCGGAATTAAAATACTGTATCTCACGTTTCTCACTTTTGAACCAAGTAAATATTACCCAATTTTTGATTGTAGTTCAGTCGTTGGCACTGACAAAATGTGTAAAAACTTGGCTGTCCATCCTACCTGTTTGAGCATACCAAATTTGAGCGACATAACTCTGCAAAATGCACTATGAATTAAAAATGCAAAGATTATTTGTTTTTTTTTGGTTTTGCAGTTCACATAATGAAACTCTTTCTGTTGAAATTAACAACATGGATTATATGTGAGACAAAAAAGTTAAGTACCGCAGCTTTAAGGTAGACTGTAGGGTCCCCGTGGGGAACAAGGAGATGATACCAGTCTCTTCACTTTCCTTCCTCTGGACACATACACCATTACTTCCTTCACTTCCAAAGCAGGAGAAAAATCTGTTCCCTGCACAAACTCCATCCTGCTGCTTCCACACTGTCAATCATTCAGAGCACCGCTGCGATTCCAAACTCTCAGCAAACACAAACACGAAGGGAGGGTAAAGGAGGCGCAGCAAAAAGCTTATGAAACTGTGCTGAAATCCTAGTCCATGTGCATTTCTCCAGGACTAGGTCAGGTCCAGAAAACCGAGAATTTTACATGTCAGGTCCTCTGTGTCCATGTTTTCCAAGAAGTCGAATATGTTGAGTTTATTTCTCCCAAACTGGTCTTAACAGTCTAACGTGACGCTTTTTAAGTTTATTCCCGGATTTGGCAATTTTTTAGATTTGGATATGCAGAATTATCATATGACTTAGATCGTACGCACGCTCTGATTGGCTGATTTGCGGTCTGATTGGTCTTTTGCACAGGGTCTGTACCAAAAGGCCGCGGTCTGATATTTCTCTGTACAGACCTTGCGCTCTTTTGATAAGCCGTTATTATTATATGACTTGGATCATACGCGTGTGTGGTACACCCAAATATGTGTAACCACAATTGTTGTGCCTTATTTCAGATATGTTTTGTTTGCATTTATATTTGTGTAACTATTTG